ACGTACGTCGTACGTACGAGACGAGAGAGAGAGAGAGAGAGAGAGAGAGAGAGAGAATTCATGCAGAAGATAAACAATGATGAGGTGCAGGAAATCCTCTTTAACATCTGTTAGGGCCAAATCACATATTTACATTAGGGTTAAAGAGTTACTGTTAGTTCTTCCTGTCTCGTAATGCCATCATGAGCACCATTAATGGTAGCGTACCAGTCGAAGAACTGGTGGAACTCAGGACGAAAGCCCGCATACGTCACCTTCTTTCCACCATTCGCCACGATAGGCCACGAGGACTAGCGAGGAGGAGGACATGGAGAATGGCGGAAATCTGTCTGTGGGGACAGCTCCCGACGTAACCGGAACCGTAGGAGAGGGATAAGAGGGCTGAGATGACGGCGGAGAGGCGAGGAAGCTTGTGGTCGGATTCAGAGAAGGGGTAGCGCGGGGCGGCGGGCGATGCAGTCCGGGCCGGACTCCCGTCGGCCCATCCTGGTGACCATCGTTCTTGGGTCCGGTCACCGACGGTGTGCATATAACGACGGAGATTGTATCATTATGTCAGAAAATAATTTTTTTGAAGGCAGTCTATCGACCCATGACAATGGGTGAGCTCACCGGAGAAGTATAATTGCCTCCCTCGTAGGGTTGGAGTCTGATCACCGTAGGTGAGAATAGGTATAGTTAGGTACGACGATTTTACAACGATTTAATTTTTCGAAGGCAGTTTATCCCCTTAGTGGCCGGTGGTAACCGCACCTAAATGTGCAGGCGGTTACTTGACTAACATCTGCTAATGCAACGCCAGAAGGAATGAACATATTAGAGTCTGATCACCGACAGTAAGAATAAAATCGTTTATGTGGAGCGATTTTACAACGATTTATTCTTTTTCGAAGGCATTTAGGCTTCCGCTTGCATATGGTAAGCGTACTTAAGTGGTCATGTGATTCAGGACTACGGATGCAATGTGAACCGGCCCATTAGGCCCGATTCACTGCCCAAAGTAGGATTGGATCCGGTTCAGTGCTTCGGCCCATTGGCGGGGCCTCACGGAATGACGGCGACGCCACCGATGGCATCAGAACTGCGGCGGACGGCTTCACCTAGTCTCCACCATTCGCCACTACGGCTACGAGGAATTGGGAGGAGAGAGAGAAGGGTCTATGTTTGTTGGGACAACTCCCGACGCGGTTGTAGTCGGAGGAGGAAGAGAAGAGGGCTGAGATGTCGCCGGAGAGGAGAAGAATCTCGTCAACGGAGCCCGAGAAGGGGCCGACGAGGCGACGCAGTTCGGGCTGTGCCGTGCCTGATTTGCCATTGGGCAATCCTAGTTCAGAGCTTCCGTGAGTCCGGTCACCGCGCGTGTGCATATGACCACGGAGATTGGATGAATACGGCAGAAAATAAAATTTTTTTGAAGGTTGTTTATCCACCCTGGAGGAACGGTAAGCACACCGGGAAGCATATTTGCTTACTTACCAGGTCAGAGTCTGATCACCGCGAGTGAACATATGTCTGCTTAGGTGTGACCTTTTTGCAACGAATTAATTTTTTCGGAGGCACTTAATGCTCATAGTTGAAGTGGTAAGCTTACCATCAAGACGATGCGGTTACCTGAGTTACATCTACCAAGGTAACGGGGGCCCAATACAAGCCTTTAAGGAAGACCTTTCAGGCCCGTTAAGGCCCAATGTAATATGGGACCCAGATCGATTGTACGTCTGCTAATGTATCAAAAGGAAGACCTTTTCTCATGGCGGTATTATTTCTAACGACAAAAAATCTCGGTCAATTTTGTGCAATCTAGAAATCAATGGTTTAGGGATTACGATAGCGTACCGCATGACAAGATTACGTACGACTTCCAGCTTTTACTCTTGTGTACACCGATGCATGTATGCCTTGTGGAAGATTTAGTATACATACTTTCATGCCTAATTGCAGATCGAATAGCTTCATCTAGTATGATCACTGAAACCAGTAATTAGATCAACAGCCAGAACTGAAAGATGAGAGCCTCCGACAGGCCACATGGAAGCTCATAATAGAAACATCTTGCTTCGTTACTCCTCACATTAGCAGGAACATTATTTACAAGCTCACAACCTGGACAAAGGACTACCACTCAGAATTAGCAAGTTCTTACAAGTCAGTGAAGATGCTGTAGGTATAAGTGTTGTCATTATGACAATGGAATAGAATACTGAAAAAAAAAAAATCTGTGAAAGTGTTGTCAGTATGAAAAATCAAAATCCTCGTAATACCCAAAATCTTCATCTCCATTCCCGTCGTAATCATCATAACTGACTTCAGCATATATGTGATCTTCAAATGCTCCGGATCCATCACCATCCTCCGTAGCACTTGGATCAACCACATGATTCTCGATGTTGTTCGGGAGGTCACAAGCACCAGCAGCATCTGACTCGAGTTTTTGCCTTTTTCCACCATCTTGATCAGACTGTTGAAAGACATGGCCAATAAGGCAGAATACAAATACTGAAATAAAATTAGGAGATAAATGTTGAACTTTTTTTCACATAAATGCTTAAAATTCACGGTGTCAAATATCCATCAAGAGCCACCACTGGAATGCCATGAAGCTTATGGGATGTAGAAAGATCAATACAAAGATAAACCATAGGCAGTGGAAATATTCACACAGATGGAAGTTAAAAGTAGAACTTGTCAACCTTCTCTCTCCTTGGGAATCTTTTCGTGGGTGTATATATGGAGAAACATAAATGTATTGGAAAAAAAAAACTCCTCTTTTGAATCATGTACATCAAAGGTGTAATGGTGTACCTCCAAGCTGCGATTCTCATGCAAGGTGTACATCAGCTAGCTTCCCAAGTTTCAATGGTTTGTTAATGAGAGGTTTTATGGATCATTGAGCATGGCAGATTGGTTTACCTTTATTCTGAATGCATAAGTTTAATATTGTGATACCTGTTACACTCTGAGTACCATCCACTGGAGACGAGAAAGATTAGAGAGCTGTGATGATGCATTTTCTTAGAGCAAGGAGTGGTTCTCAGTGCAAGTTCTTTGATACTTATCACTTGATCATGTTGGCTTTCAATTCAGGAGAGGGGAAGATGCCAGAAAAAAAAAAGTCTTTAAGTCATGAACAAATAGATGTAATCTGAAAGATCAACAAGGGAAGTCTGGGCTTGAATCTGAGAAGCTCAAGTTCAAGAGATGTCTGAAAGAAAATAATTTGCTTGAAAAAATATACCAAAATCTGAAAGGACAACAAAGGGAAGTATAGATTTGAATAAAGGAAGCCACATGTTCTTTGGTAACTGTTGTGATACCAAAGGGAAGTATAGATCTGAATAAAGGAAGCTACATGTCATTTGGTAACCTTTGTGATACCCCTATTGCACTCTGATTTCTGTTGGCTACATGGATCTTTCCCACCACTGAAATTAGCGATATCACTTGTCAAACCAAAGTTCTAATAAGTTTGTCTTAGGTTCTTTCACCTCTCATCATACAACAAATTGAAGTTGACTAGTCATGTCTAACTAGTACCATCTATATGTCTTCTTTTGATATGCTTATATCATCTTAAATAATTTTTCCTCATTTTATCCTCGATTATAGGTATTCCTAATAATCAACATGAACAAAGCTTAAAAACACAAATTGTTGCAAAAGATTCCTTTTCATATCTATTTACATCATAGTATTAGTTGGGCTTCTAATCCTTGCCCTGGGCCCCTGGCCACTAACAAGGGTTTGCTAAATCATTGAGAGGAACAAGATAAAAAAACCCTCTTGAAGAACATAAAATTAGTACTAAAAGAAAATCAAACCAAGCATTCTAAGAATGAAGCGATGAGCCCATAGAAAATCATTAGCCATTCCAAACTTACTAGTGAGTAAAAAGGAAAAAAGT